TTTCAATGTATTGATGTTCGCATTTTGTATGCAACATTAATTAACGAAATTTAGGTCAAAATACGTATCTTTCCTTTCAAATAGATGCCATTTTGTGAAAAATGCATATTTTTGAAAACGGCTACGTATTTCGCTAGCTTTTGGGCTACAGAAACTAATTCTTTTTCATTTATTGTTCTAACTTAAATCTGGACTGAGTTATCGTGCCCACCTCACGATCATCGATTTTCGCAGCGCTCCGGTATATCGCCTTTCAAGCCATCATTTTTGTAAATAAAATGACAGCTGTGTCGAATTATATTGGGTATTGTACCAAATGGCAAACTCCCCCTGTCGTTTTCGTACAATAAATATAAAAAAATCGAAGTAAAACTCTAGAAATTCTCTGGATTCATACTTTCTGGGACCCTAATTGACTGCAGAGGGACCACCCTGCGCCATCTGCGATTTCCAGGTCAATTAAATTTTCACTCCAAGACCTCGTATTCCAATCGTTTTAGCATAGAAGCGCACACAACACTTTGTTGCCTTTATCCCGTTCAAATGCGAGTTTAACGATTACCAGAGCGTTCTAATTGTCGTAAAATTGTCCTGACCCTTTCGTTTCTCATATCAGAGCCTTCGATAATTGTATATCGATCGAAATATGAGAGCTCGACGCCATTTTGGTTCTGGTCTAGGCTGTTAAACAATTTTTTTGAAAAATCCAAATTTTCAATGTGTCAGGACAGTTCTTAGATGACCAGGAGTGATGTGTCAAAGTTTCGGACGGTTTGGTCTAATATCCTTAAAAAAAAAGTGTTGCATTCAAATCGACTGATTTCAAGGGTGTTTCACTTCACCTTAACACGTTCAGTGCCGAATCAAATGACGAGTACACTGTCGTAAATAGACCATGGGGCGTATACGCCCCACGCGGCAGGGACCGTGTTAAGAATTACCACTACAACTTCTGTTTCAATGTTCCGAAATATTGACGCCAGCGAAACTATGACTTCGACGTAATAACGTCTTGCAATTGTTCAAAATTGAAATGAACCTCAACTGGAACTATGTATAGCCTCTATGTATACCCTAACAGTATTTTAACCCTTTGCACTCGATAGGTGACCCTCGGTCACCATTTGGTTCGATGCGGAAACCCGATCGACAATAAGGTATACATATGTATGTATAATTTGACGAAGGGTAGGATGATACCCCTTGCATATCTAACTGGGACGATCCCAACAAATAGGAAGGAGTTGCCATGTCTAATAAAGAAAAAACAAAATTGCACAAGAAATCCACGATAGTATACCGCAGAGGTATTACTTTAGTTCTAACATGAAATGACAAAGGCACATCTTTGACCACTTGGAATAATGCGGGAATAACTCCAGTAAAAAAGATTTTACGAGGTGGTGTTGAAGTTACTGTCGAAAAAGTCAATGTTATTATAAACTATATAAAATATATGGGCGGCGTTAATCGAGCGGACCAATATGGCTCAATGTACTGTTTTGGAAGAAAATCGTTGAAATGGTGGCTTAACCCTTTCGTTACCTTGGACGAGATATCTCGCGACCCAATACTGGCCGATCAACGCTTTTGACGAGATATCTCGCGATCCGGTAGTAGCGGATTAACGCTTTTGACGATAATCTAGCTTCCTAGCACTAATATTTTCCAACCATGTTTTCAATTATACCACGTAGAAAGTAAATAAAAATAATTTCATTAAATTAATAAAAACTGTATTTATTTCTTCCTTTTAGCTATACGAATAGAATTAGTTATAAAATATATTCATCTAGAATGTCAAAATATTGGTGCTAGAAAGCTAGATTATCGTCAAAAGCGTTAATCCGCTACTACCGGATCGCGAGATATCTCGTCAAAAGCGTTGATCGGCCAGTATCGGGTCGCGAGATATCTCGTCAAAAGCGTTAATCGGCCAGTGGGTCGTGAGATATCTCGTCCAAGGTAACGAAAGGGTTAAGGGGTTACACCACTTTGACCCACCCAAAAATTACGGTTTTTCAAGAATTTTTTTTTAAGAATTAAAACGTTTTTATTCAAATTAAAGTACAGGAAAGTATTATACTACTATTAGACAACAAAATATTTTGTTGTATTTTTTTTATTTACAAAAATGGCGGCTTGAAAGGCGATTTACCGAAGCGCTGCGAAAATCGATGATCGTGCGGTGGGCACGATAACTCAGTCCAGATTTAAGTTAGAACAATAAACGAAAAAGAATTAGTTTCTGTAGCCCAAAAGCTAGCGAAATACGTAGCCGTTTTCAAAAATATGCATTTTTCACTAAATGGCATCGATTCGAGAGGAAAGATACGTATTTTGCCCTAAATTTCGTTAATTAATGTTGCATATAAAATGCGAATATCAACACATTGTAAAAACCATACGTATTTCGCTAGATAAACATATCACGAATAAAATAAAAAAAGGATCAAGACAATTGATTGAAAATTGGCGGAGCTAGAGTGCCCACCGATTTTTAAAATGCAGTTTTACAAAAAAACGCGTTTAAAATATAAACGCGTAAAAATTTTTTTGATTTTTTGAAAATTTCAAAGTGGTATAACCCCTTAAGACTACTATACATTCAGCGGTACCTGGGTAACTATATAATAGAGAGGACTCGACGATTACAGTTTTCGACTAATCTTGATAACCCGTAGATGCACACCTTCTGAACACGTTTTATTACATTTTTTTCATTTTTTTTTTCCGTGCATCTGCAGTATAAAAGTAACGATTTAATCTTGTCTTCGTGATATCATGTCGAGTTGTTGAATCGTCGTGTTTCTTGATATCTCCATACCGATTTGTCAGATTGTTTTATGAGTTTTTCGCTAATTGTAGGGTCACCGTCAATCATCGGATATCTCGATCTTATCGAGTCCAAAATCAGGAGTCGAAAATTTGAACCCACCCGAACTTCTCGCAAGCACGCAGGGCTTTACTCTTTGACTCGATGGAAAAAGGACAGAAACAGACATGAAACAGAGGGTAGTTTCATTTAAAACTATCTAAGGGATAAAAATTCTCATTAAAAAAATGTTTAATTCATCAACTCCCTGTTTTTCGAGCCATGAAGGCAGCCATTTTATTCTGTAATGTTCGAAGATGGTTTCGAAAAAATTATACTAACTGTACGTTTGTTTCCTTTTACGATGAATGGCTAATGATAAATTGGTGAATTGAAATTGAAAAATGAAGGGCATTAATTAAAATAAAATAACCCTCTTTCGTAAAACTTTGTTAAGAAGATTCTTACGACTCCGAAGAATATAGTTTCGACAATTTGACTACCAAATCGACGCCCTCACGATTTTCCACGGAATTAGTTTACGAATGTAAATAGCTGGTAATTAAATCTGGTGAATGAGCAATGGCTGATTTATTGCTGGAAAAGCTACCTGTCTGACCTCGAAAAAATGTAATAAAATCCCCCAGCGGTAAATCAGAGTGATAATTATATTATATCATTCACGAAATTAATTCANATGTCATTGAGATTTTCCAGAAATGTTTCAGATATCTTCGAATTAAATCTTCAAAAAATCTTAAAGAATCTATCGCTTGAAATATTTAACAAAGATTACAAACAAATATTTAGAAATTATTCTACGCTACTAGGGTGTATTCTTCCTTTATACCCCAAGTCTAATTCTGATAAATCAACAAGCATTAATTCTTTAATCAATCCCTTTCCCATTAAACAATAATTATCAGATTCGTTCTAATCTACTGCGTAGCTGATAGGAGTTCCAGAATCCATTAACAAATTTTAACGACACGAGGTATTAGACCCAAAACTACCAAGTGACAACTCCCCACTGTGACAATTAACGAATTAAGGGGCTATACCATTGTGAACATCGAAAAAATTATCCATTTTTGACCATTTTTTCCTGAAAAAGTACTGCATATAATGACATAAACTTTTTTACATCAAAAGTCTAATGTAGGAGAATACTGTAAAATTTTTCTTTAGTAAAAAATACATATTTCTTTCTTTATTACTACAACCGTAGAGTAGTAAAAAAAAATTGTTTGTTGCTGGCGCAGATGATTGAAGGCCTTCTGGTGATCTGAAACAAAGAATTAAAAAAAAAATCGTAAGGCCGTCGCTATCGCCATCTTAGTAAAATTTTAATTTTAACTCATACTTTTGCCTTAATTATAGCGCAAAATACGTATTTTTTTAACACTTTTGCAAAAAACACCGGCCCTTTTACTAATTTGTGATATAAATTAATAATTGAGGTACGGGCGATAGCGACGCCCTTACAGATTAAGAATCTTTTCGAATTTTTTGTTTCGGTTCACCAGGAGGGCTTCAATCACCTACGTCAGCAACAAACAATTTTTTCTACTACTCTATGTTTGTAAGAATAAATAAATAAATATATCAATTTTACTAAAAAGAAAGATTTTCCTGTATTCTCCTACATTAGACGTTTCATGGAAAAAAGTTTGTGCCATTATATGCAGTGCTTTTTGAGAAGAAAATGGTCAAAAACATGTAATTTTTTCGACGTTCACAGTGGTATTGCCTTTTAAGTTGAGCAAGATGTTTGCTCAATCATCAATTGAAGTTAAAATAGAATGCAATGACAAAAGCGAATTCGGAAGTGCCAACGTACGGAACAGCCTATCAGAAGAAATGAGGAAAACAAAAGGATGTTCCTCGGCTCATTGGGTTTTTCCTGGCTCGACATATCGATCCCAGGTGACAGGTGGCAGGTGGCATGGGGGGAACACCTTGACTCCTACTCCTCAGTTCCGATACCGAACCGGTCCCTCGCGTCGATCAACTCACACGAAGGGGTGCGTTTTACAAATATTGACATTTCGTCGGCTGAGGTTGCTTTGGATACCCCACAATTATTCACCCTTGGCTTTTTCTCCATTACCCCGGAGCACATGATCCGTTAAATATTCCGACCGCGCTCATGAGTCAATTTATTGTGATTTATGCAGGAGTGAGGTCAAGGAGTTAAAGGAGCGTAATTAAGGAGGTGGTGTGGATTAATGACCAAACGTAGTGTGATGATCGTTCCAGGATGATGCCCGGAGACAGTAACATGGCTAATTGATGGTTCACTCACCTCGTCGTAGATGAAGTTGTCAATTTCCTCAAGCGGCCGGCCGTAGAGATTGGCGGGGAAGGGCTCAAACTTGTTGGGCAAAACTGCCCCATCTTCGACTGAGGTCTTCCTGCGAGGTTGAAACCCGTACTCCCTGACCAGTTGGACGGTCCTGTTTTCCAGCCTATCCAGACTCTCTTTGGTGAAGGGCTTGACCTGCTGCTTTCCGCCCTTTCCGGGAGTTCGGGCACCTGGAGACTTGCCCTCGATTTCTGGCGTTCTGTTGGTCTCTGGACCGGAGGGTTGAGGAGTGCCCAGAGGCTCGGCTTGGATCTCAGCGCTGCCGGAATCCCCGGTTCCTGAATCGGCTGAGGTGCCTGCAGTCCCAGCTAGAGGGGGACGTAGTCTGGTACTGTCCTGAGTCTTAGATCCCGGTGGCCTTTTTGGGGGCGAGCCTCCGGATTCGTGGTTAGGACCAGGGATAGGTGATCCAGATGCCTCAGGTGATGGTGGTGCTTCGGAGAAAAGAGCTGCAATCCCAGGACTCGCGGCACCGGACTCGGATGCGGTTTCTACCCGGTCTTGAAAGGTTGAATCCAGATCTTCTGCCTTCTCTTCCTTACGGTCTTCCATGGGCCGAGTAACACATCTGGGGAACAAGGACGACAGGGAATCTTCGTAGTCGTACTCGGGCGGATTCGGATCATCGTACAATGGAGGTGATCGCCTAGTGCTCTGTATCTCATCATTTCGTATGTATAATGGATGCTGCCCCGGGAACTCCCTGTTGGGATCATCTTGGATCCAAGTTCTCTTGACAGAATCTTCATCTCGCCCAGGAACATTGGTCTCCCCTGACACGAACGCGCCGACGGGCTTCCTGACCTGCTCCTGACTATCATCGAGCCTACGCCCGGAGACCCTGCCACCGTCTTCTTCCATTTCGGGTACACTAAACTTATCTCTAACCTGCACGTTGATTTCGTCAAATCTGCACTCAGGCACTCTTGGCTCCACAGAAGGGAAGTCCTGCGAGACCTGGACCTGCAGTTCCTCGAACTTTCGTCCATGACTGCGATGTCTGGGAGCTCTGGATTTTCTTTTAGGTTGGGGAGTTCTCGATGTGAAGGTCCAAGACGGATTCGCTACCTCTTTGCTGGGTCCTGCTTGATCCAGACTCCTCTGGCTTCCCCTGTCCTCTCTCCTGTCCTGGGGATCTCCCAAAGGACCATAAATCCCCTCTTCGGCAAGGATCTCTAGTTCCTCTCTGCTGAGGTTCTTTACGTACAGTCCCGCTACTTTAGGCCTGCTGGTGAACCCGTTGTCCTCCGAACTGCTGTTCGGAGAACTCGGGGGACCATTCCCACCTAGGCCCCCGCTCCGCCGCGATGTCATTGAGTAATTCCAGAAATGATCATCGCCTTCGTGTACCCGATCGACGCCATCTCGGGGCTTCCTGGACCTTCAGATCACATCCTGCCAGGATGACTCCTAATAGAGCTTCCTCCAATTTCGAGTAACCCGTCACGCTTATTACCGCCAGGTTCTCTGTTCAACGTCTTCGCTCTCATGGTCCCAGGAACAAACTGTACCTATCTTTAAAGCAATTGCAATCTTTTTTCCCACAAATCCCAAGTTCCTGGAGACTCAGTAATTAATAATCATTGATTGCTACGTGGGACGGGCCTCCACCGATAATCATAGCCGATATACTTGCCAATAATTGACGTCAATAAACTCTCGTTAGAATACCCCTAAAACAGTGAGGTCACTTGGGATCCCGATGAAGCCGGTAATCACTATAGTCAATAGCTGCTATTGGTGAACTTCGGTATTCAGTATGTACGAGCTGGATAACTTGTTAGGATGATGGGATAACCTTTCTTCTCAGTGGACTTGGAAGACGATGGTCCGGATGTTTCCGCAATTTAAACCGTAATTTGGCAAAACTTTGTATCTTACAATCTCTCGACTTCTGGTGCACTGGAAAGGTTCTCCTCATAAACACAAGTCGATCTTGATTCCGGAACTCGCTCCAGCCGTTGTCCTGCTCTCTAATCAAATATCATCGACAAATTAATTCGTGATTCCTGATGGTCATAGACTTAACATACATCATCTTAGAAAAACATATTACTTCTACCAGTCCCAATGCAATATCAATACACTATTCTCCTTATCAGAATCAGTATATCATACAGAACGATTCCTCTGATTCTAGAAGGTCTCAGTGGAAACGTCCTTTAAATGGCGGTTGAAGCGAAACTGCTCGAAGCTCGTCGACATTTTTTCGAGTGTCCAGTAAGTTAACTATAAGTTTCTCTTGTCGGAGATTCCATCCATGTAGGTCCAGTTGTAAGCAATGCGTATTCCATTGTGGAGTTCTTTAGTGTCCGAAGGGAATATGATTTTTTGTAGAACCGAACTTTTGCATTCTTGCTAGAAAAAATCCCTTTGAATGTTTTTGCTAGTCTTTCTATTGTCTCTCCAAATGTAATTATCAGCCTTTATGTTTTCCTTCTCGTTCGTTTTCTGGAGCCTCGAGGATCATGTCCCATAAGATTCCCTTCCTACGTACAGATTTTTATTCGGATTTGGTTTAAATGCAACCAACAATCGGTGTCAACCGACAAGGTCCTAGCTGGAGGAGGAATTCATTTTTCGCAGACTTAAATCGGTCACTGATGATCTGCTCCATTCCACGATGTAGTTCCCATCGCTGACACCTACAAGCGACTTGGACAAAACAGCTTTCAAAGGAATTCCTTTGTGATAGAATTCAATAGAAGGTGCTTCCTTCTAGGAATCTCCCTGATATCACGTAGTATATGTGTGATCCATGTATACTCCTTACAGCGGTATCGACAATTTGGACCAGATAATGGATTTACCCATCTATACTTTAAGGGAGGATTGCTCGTGAATAATTTTTCGTAACCGAAGAATGAAATTAGCTCCAGGGATGAAAAGCCCTTAAGCATGTTTTCGTGCACTGGATGGGTCGTTCCAGCTTCAGCAGTCATAACCTCACCTAACCTTATCGATGTTAGGTTCCATCCTCCGTATCGCCCCCATTCTTCTTGCTCTTCTTCCCTGTTAAAGTAGATATGTCCAACGCACCCTCTATCCACGAGGGATCATTCCAGGACAACAAAATCCTCCCCAATTTAAGCACCACCGGGATAACGATAACACTCTGCTGTCAGGAGAACAGCCTGACCTGGTGACGTTGATCGTAAACTTGGAGTTCGTCTGATATTGACTGATTATTGATTATCTTTGGTACTTTCTTTCGAGCTATGTTGACGATGCTACCGTTGTTTCTTTGGTGAGAGGGTACAAATGGTCACTGGCTATAGGATTTCGTGGATATATTTCGAGAAAAAATGGTTTCCTACGAGATTGGTACCGGAAGGCGGATCGTATGATCCTGACCTCGTTAAACCTCACTAATATTGCGCACTGTGCCCTATTTTCTCTCCGCGTTACTCTCCTCGGCAAAGTAGACACCTTCGTTTCACTATTAGCAAAAGGACGCCACCTAAAAGCAGTCACCACCTAGTAATTGAGCCATCAGAATAATAGCAAAGGACGCCGTATTACAGGAAAAAGTGTGTCCATGCCCCCAATTTTATCCCGATTGAGCTCTCGTAATTACACGTTGCGTTTTTTTTCGAACCCCTGCAATGAAATATTTGTTGAAAATGAAAATATGTGCAGGGAAATATACGAGTCCATTCTCAAGTTCTCGGACCACTCTGTTGAATCGCTATAAATTATTATCGAAGTAATTTCAGATTTAAATATCTTATTAAACTTCTGTTGGAAATACTCGTAGCAAGTATTTCAACTTTAGAATTCCCCTACTATATTCCCCCTAATTGTGTTATACACTCGACTAAACCGAACGTTTATATTTTTTCCTGATCACAAGAAACAGCATCGGTATCATTATTAAAATTACCCGAACACTAATACAGAACTCCCCCGCCCCATAAAAAACAAGAACTGCAGTAGTTCAAACCAAAACGGCAGCTTTTGCCCCTTTCATTGAACTAATATCAACGTCAATTAAACGTTGATGCCTCCCAATAACAACCGTTCTTCCCTGGTATGTTCAGGACAATATTCCACCTCACATAAATCCTTCTAATAAAAAAATAGCACTACGATCACTAATCACAACTAACACCTACACTGCCCTACATTACCCTGTCTATAAACATGTCCCAGTTTCACCTAGACCCATCAAAGGGATAAGATGTACGCATTCTACGTAGAGGCTCCAGGAGTATTGGGCCTTTTTTTAAGAACATGGAAATACTGCAGCACTTCCAAATCTTCACGAACTACATGGGCCAGAAGTCGACATAGGACCTCCAGGGATCGTCGGGTTCAGATGAGGAGGGTTCTACAGGATTCGGGCACTTTTGGGGTTTGATACCCTATCCTCGGGCGGGTTAAAATCACGGGTGTCTCTCGCGAGAGCTCTGGCGGCACTGTCCGAGGAGGTGCGATTCGTAGACGCGCGCGCGCGCGTATCGAACGACCAACCGGGAGCCACAGTCACACACCACCCACCTGCATACTCCTCGAAACCACCCGTGACCACCCCCAACCAGGCCCCGACCAGGCCAAACCAGGCTCGATCAGCTCTTCGCGATGGAATGAACGAGACATACCGTGCGTCACCACTTCAGAGGACACGTGAGATGTTTCGAGACTGGATGAGACCATACCACACCAGAGGAGATGAATCCGGGATGACCCAACACCGATATGCCATCGCTCCGCAATACCACACACCCATGGGATCGTTGGACCTCGCGCCCCAGGGTGCGACAACATCATTTGTGCATCGAATTTCGGAAGAGTGTTCTTGTGTGGCGATGATCCCTATTGGATCTCGCATGGCCTGTTGAAACAGGTGCTTCGCGATCTTCGTTCACTTTGCATTTATTCTTCGCAGTGATCTGAGGAAATTGTGTATTGAGTGGGGAAGACCGAGGTCAAATGTAACACGGGGCAATTGTAACAAATGGTATAAATTATTTGTTCAAACTTGAAAAAGCGTGGTTAAGCAGTGGAAGCTTTCCACGGATACTTGGAATATCTTGCAGCCGTTTCATGGTTGTTAAATCAGGCGTTCTCTTGTTATTTTCATTTTTCGTGACAGGACATAGGTCAGTAATATTTTTATGAGTTCAATATTTTCGATGCATATTACACCCGGAGGGGATAAAACTGATTTAATCATGCCATAGTATTGCACCCACAGTTGTTCGTCATATGTTTAATGCATTTGAAAATAGACTGGCTCTAAGTTGCTGTAATTGAATCAATTATTTGAAAAGAGCCATCGAGAACAATTGTACCAAGTCACCCTGTCACAAATGTAACATGGGACATTTGACCCCGATCATCTACGTTCCCACGGATAAATTCGATACAGTATAATTGTTGCAGATTCTTTGAACATGCCCCGTGTCCGTAAAAAGATATCGAACCGAAATCCATCTGGGGATATCACGAAACGTGTTGCAAATTTAGTTATGAATAAAAGTCGTAGGCAGAGAAGGGTAGGCAAAGATTTCGAAATTTGTCATGAGGCTTCAATTAAGTACGTAGGAAGCCTAAAGGAAAGGAAGGAAGTGGTCATGCGTTACAAACCCCACAACAATGTTTTATCTCATGAAAATGCGTAAACTTTTTGTGAATGAATTCGTAAATCCGCAGATTTATACTTCGGATTAGTTCCAATACATATACGTAGCCTTGTACATCACTGACAGTAAAATAGACTATATCTGGATTGAATGCCCCAATGTAAGAAATGGCCCCATGAAAAGTGCATCAGTATGATGCTTGACCATTTCTGACATGAATAGACTTTTTGTGAATATATTCGTAAATCCGCAGATTTATATTTCGGATTAGTTCCAATAGATATACGTAGCCTTGTACATCACTAACAGTAAAATAGACCATATCTGGATTGAATGCCGCAATGTAAGAAATGGTCCCATGAAAAGTGCACCAGTAAAACGGAAAACAAGATGGACCATTTCTACTGTTACCGTTCAAAATGTATTACTAATTAAAAAGGTGACATATTTATAATTACTTATTTTATATGTATCCTATAGAAGTAACTTTTGTTGTGTTCATCCGTATGTACCAAAACATAGTTATTCACTATAGTTATTTGAGTATTCTTGTATTAATCGGTAGCATTACATTTGCCCCGACGGGGGTTACAACTGTACCCTGGCACGGTTGCAATTGTAACAAATACGTTTAGTAGAGGAAATAAAAATTGCTGATTTTGATAGGAACTTGAATCACTTAAATGTAGGCTGTCTTTCAGACGAAGGTTCACTTTATATGGACTAAGT